CACCTTAGGAAGGATAGGTTTCCTTCCAAAAGAAAGTCCAAGCTTAGTCCTAGAGGAGATGGACCCTTTCAAATCCTTAGAAAAATAAATAATAATGCCTATGTCCTAGATCTCCCTTCTAAATATGGTGTTAGTCCTAGTTTTAATGTTTCTGATTTGTCTCTCTTTACAGGACTTGCTACCCAAGAGGAGGATGCTTTGGATTTGAGGACAAATCCTCTTCAAGAGGGAGGGGATGATGGAGGAGGCCCATGGGCCAAGGGCCCAACTACTAGGGCTATGGCAAAGAGGATCCAAGAGGAGTGGGCCCAAGCTCAAGGAAAGCCCATCACATTGTTTAGTTGGACTTTGACTCAAGCCCAAGTAGAGTAGGAGTAGTGTAGGGTTGGGCCTTAGGGCCTTGTATTTCTTTTAGGCCTTGTATTTCTGGCCATTTAGATTAGGTTTTTCATTTAATGGTCATTTGAATTTAGGGTTTATTTAGGGTTACATGTGTATTTGCATTAAAATGTAATTAGCTTTACATTTGGAATGCATTTTGGCCATGTGCAACACATGCACATGGTGTGACTGAAATGCAACTCAAATGAAAGCTAAATCACATTCCAAATGAGGTGCACATGGTGTGGTTCCGGGTTTGGCTCCAAAATTTGAATTTTGAATTCAAATTTTGGGCGCCTAAGGTTAAGTAAACCATACCATGGTTTCACTTAACCTTAGGCTAACCCATGGTTCCTTTAACCTAATTATTCCCTATAAATTCAAAGTGGCCGAGACTTGTACTCACTTTTGGAATATACATATGAGATTTCTCTCTTTCATTTCTCTCCTCTCCGAAAGTCACTCACACAACCTACTTCTACCTTCCTTGAGCTCCTCTCTTTGTAGAGCTAGGTTGCCTTTTTACTTCTTCCGAATTTAGCTTGAGCAAGCATAGGTCACATTGTTGCTTCTTGGAGTTTCTCTTCTTGCCACTCTTCCAAGGAACCGAGAAGCATTGAAGGTATTCTTGAGGATTCACAAGTGGAACCTCATCATTTCAACTTTACAACAATAGGCATCTGGTCACTTGTAATCGGTATAGCTCGGCCTGACCCCTATACCGTGGTCACTTTATACACGTGTGCCTCGACCTTGCCCACACGGGATCAACTAAGTCCTAGAGGAGAACAACACAACGTCCACTCCAAAGGATAACTTTCCAAGGAGGGTTTTCAATAAATTGGGCTCTTAGAGCACCACAACTATCTCAATCCGCACAGTGGGATGAGCAACTTAAAAAACATCTCCTCTAGTCCTAGTGATCAATAACTTATCATCACAACTTAATCAACTTACAACTCGACATCACAACTCAACTCAACAACTTAAACAACGTATAACTTTTCAACTCATCATCTTAATCAACTTTTAACTCAAACAACATGGTATATCATCACAACAACTCATCAACGTTATTTAACAACACATTTTAACAACACAACATTTCATTTCAACTTTAAGTAGCACAATCGACTCAATCATCATAAAATAATATCTTTTCAACACATGGCACAACATACAACTTTAACAACATACAACTCTTCTCTAACAACTTAACAATATTATCATCATGCACTTCGCAACATATCCATGTCCACACATAACATATAGCAACTTTATCAACTTAATTTCAACTAGCTTCAACGATATCATAGATCAACACACAACTTGTAAACAATTTCACAACTTAACTACAACATGCATCTCCAACAACATCATTAATAAATATTTAATCATATATTAGAAACACACTATATTTTTATCACATAACACAACTCATACTAATCAACCTAAGTACCCAAATGAGTTCCCAACTCAGATACAACCAAGAACTTTACAATCTAGCTTCCCTTACCTGAAGATTGGCTCAGAATAGCCAAGAAGCGGAATTCCCTTTCCGAAGCTCAACCAGGAATTCCCTTTCCGAAGTTCAACCCGGGACTTCAATCCGCCCAAGGCAAGCTTCCTAGTCCAGAGTCATTCTCTCTAAAAATTCTCTCTAAAAACCTCCTCTTCTCCTCAACCACTGAACCCTATTTATAGAAGTTCAGGAGTGGCCAGAACGGCCTGTTTCGAATCCGGAACGGCCCGTTCTGCACCCCTTCATCACGTACAAAAATCACATGCAGAACGACCCATTCTGAAACCAAAACGGCCCATTCTCCATCCAGAACGGCCCGTACTCCCTCCGGAACGGCCCGTTTTGGGGTTTGGAACGACCCGTTCTCCCTTCAGAACGACCTGTTCTCCCTCCAGAACGGCCTGTTCTCAACTACGTTTTATAGGTCAATTCAGTAGTTTGGAACAACCCGTTCCAGTTTGGGAACGGCCCCGTTCTGGGCTACTGAATCACCCATACTGGGCTTTTGGGCCTTCTGAAACAACTTGGTACGTTACACCGAGTGATTTGGAATCTATCAAATGATGGTCATTTCTCTTTAAAGTCTGCATATAAGGTGATTGGGTCCTTTCAAAATCCAACTCCTCAGCAAGTGTTTAAGGTATTATGGCGTTGGAAAGGCCCTGAATTTATTCGCATTCTACTGTGGAGGATAGCTCATAATAACTTGCTCACTAATGATCTTAAGGTGAAGCTTGGTTTAAGCAACTTATCATCTTGTAGTATTTGCGTGACAGGCACAGAAAATACTTTACACATATTGAGAGACTGGTCATTTGCAAAATCAATTTGGAATTAATTACTAGTTCGAAAGCTTTTGCATGTTTCTTTTCTGCTGACCTCCATAATTGGTTATTATATAATTTGTTAAAATTTGATCTTGCTTGGGAAGGCTAAAGAACTTTTTTTGCATTAGCTCTTGATTCTTTGTGGCATCGAAGAAATCAATTTCTCTTCCAGAATGCCAACATACCATTTGACCAACTAGTATTGGTTATCAAGAATAGAGTATCCTCCTTATCCACTGTTTATTCCTTTTTGTGTGGATTGGGGTTTCAGTCTCAGATCTCAATTTCATATTTGTCATTTGAGCAGAAGTGGTCGTATCCTCCCACCGGTGAGATCAAGATTAATTGTGATGGAGCAGTCTCAAACTCTAGTGTTGCTTCTTGCAGAGGGGTTATTTGGGATGAAGGAGGTAATTTGTGGCTGGATTCTCCTGTCAGCTAGGTAGGTGCTCAGTCATCCAATCTGAGTTATGGGCTATCCTATACGATCTGCATCTTTATCAGTCTACAAGATTGGATGTTGGAGTGTTTGTGGAAACTAATTCCTCATTTGCGGTACAACTAATTATTGGCGGATGTTCATCTACGCATCCTTGTAGTAGTTTGGTGCAACAAATCATATCAGTTTAAAGACAAATTATGTCTATATCATTTTCACATATCTATAGGGAAGCTAATTCTGTAGCGGATTGTTTAGCAAAATCCATAGTGTCAAGAAGGAAAGATTACATTCAGTTTAATTCTCCTCCTGATTTCATCTTTCATTTTTTAGAAGCAAAACACTTCTGCTGGTTTACTTTGAATATTTTTTTGACATGATTTGAATATGAATTAAGAAAATGAATTTACTTTTATTCTTAATTAAACACTTATTTAACACTCTTATTATAAAAAAAAATTAAAAATTAACTTATTTATAAATATTACAAATCTCATAATATTTTTTAATTTATAATAAAACCCATTTTCATAGAAATTATTTAATATTTTAAGTTTTAAGAGATATATTTTATTTTCTAAGGGTGATAATCATCATAATTATAAAAGTTATATATACATGTGAGAATCGTGCGTGCTTATAGTAGTGCCACACAAACAAAAGCAGCACTATTTTGTGTGGTTAGAGTTATAGTGCAGTGTATAGGATTTTCCAATAATTTGACGTGGAAATTATATGTGTTGAATTGGTCCTAAACAGTCCTTTAAGGAAAGCCTCTTTGGTCAAAAGAATGCATTGAAGTTTCATTGTTAGTACTGCATTGACTGGCCCAACGTCTTCTTCTAAGTCTTGGCTAAGGCTACCTGGTCCCTTTTCTCACCTCACCACCTTGATTTCTTTCCTATATAAACAAAAAATGATCTCAGCCAAAGAGAAGTGAAGAAAAAGTCAGTGACAGGACTTGGGATGAGAGATATGTCATTCTATTTTTCATTACTATTTATCATTCTTTGGTTCAAAACTTGCGTGGATTCCTTAGATCCAATGTTTGAAGCCTGCGAGCCCCAGACATGTGGCAACGGCGCAAACATAAGCTACCCGTTCCACATCAGAGGGAAACAAAACTCTTTCTGTGGCCTAGCAGATTTCGAACTAACATGTGGCAACAACGGTTTCCCCATTCTGAATCTCGTCGACACTGACTACACAATTCAGACAATTTTCTACAACAATCATTCTCTTCGAGTGTCCAACCCTGTGTTTTTGCAACCGAATGCTTCCTCTTGCTTCGGTCGCACTCGGAACCTAACGGTAGCCAAGTTCAGGTTCCGACTGGCTCCGAACCAAAGGCAAGTGTTTCTGATCTACGGCTGCCACTTGGAGGCCCTTCCTGAAGGGTTGCAGGAGCGGAGGATTGGGTGCGATGCAGGGAACAAAACGACGTCGGTTTTAGGGTTGGATGCCAAGGAGGATCAGAATTTGAGATATGCGATGGAAAATTGCGAGGGTGGAATGGTAAATGCTGCGGTGGAAGATACGAATGGAGGGATCACCGAGGCATTGGGGAAAGGGTTGTTGTTGATTTGGGATGCGACTAACTGCTCGCAATGCATAAGGAGTGGAGGGAGGTGTGGTTTCGACCGAGACATGTATGCTTTTAGGTGTTACTGTCCTGATAGGCCCCATGCGGTGCGATGTGTTACAGGTATGTATCTCATCTAATCTAATAAAAATCCTTTTTTTTTAATCATCATTCAATACTTTCAAATTATCAATTAACAATTAATTTTATCTATAACACATCCTTCTAACCATTATTTTAACTTAAATATATATACAAGTATCAGATTCACAAGTTATTTAACCTTGCCTTAGTAAAGATTAATCCACGTTTAAGTAAAGTCAAGAGTTTAAATCCTGCTTTGTGTATGTAGCTGCGTTAAATTTTAGGGTCAGCTATCTTATTCTTTGAGGTGCTTCCAACATAGCGAAGAGATTAATCACTGCTATCGAGCATCGGTCCTGAATACTCCTGGGACAAAAAAAAATAAAAAATTCACAAGTTGTTTATATTAAAATAATGTTTAATTAATATAAATTACGTCCAAGTACAGAATTGTCTTTCACGGTTGCATTTGGAACATTGTGTCAAATGTTCATAGGGCAAAAGAAAAATAAAACACTTCTAATATTTTTTAAGAATTATTTTTTTTTACTAAATTAAAAAATAAAATATTTGCTTCATTTAAAAATTTTGTCTTGTAGATAAATATTCTATGGGTGTTTTTTAAATTATTAAATGTTGTTAAAACTAAATTCTTAATCTACCTGGTATTCGTGCATCCACAGGTAACTTTTTTTTAAAAAATATTTTTATAACTAAAATAACAACTTATTATATATCATCACATTAAGTCTTAAAGGAAAAAGAATGAATCATTAAAAAATGAGTTTTATTAAAGTTTTACTCAAAGCAATTAATTATTTTTCATTTTAATTTTTAATAAGAAATTTTTTAATTTAATCAAATAATTAATTTCAACATTTTACTTGATCATTATTCATTCAATAACTATTTTTTAATATAGTCTTAAATTAGTTTCAAAAAATAATGACAATAATTACAAATATTATTTATAGTATTTTATTAATTAACATATATCTCACACATTTAAAAACTAAATTTTAATATAGTTTAATATTTCTAATAAAACACTAATTCACCTGTTAATATTTTTTTTATTAATTTCAATTTAGAGAGAAAAAAAGTCATAATATCTAATAAAATTTAATAAAACATTTTTTAAAATCTTATTTATTGAAATTCAAATAAAAACTTTCAAAGTAATTTCATATTTTAAAATCTTTTTCAAATAATTTGTGAATACAATAAAATAAAATAATTTGATATACAAAATAATCAAAACTAAAAAAAATAATTTTTTTACAGAAATTAAGAGAATTAATCTTTAATTGAATATTCTTATTGGTATCATTATTATTATTATTATTATTATTATTATTATTATTATTATTATTATTATTATTATTGCATTAGTAGTTACACCAACATATTTTTTTAATATATATATATAGATATAAAATAAAAAATAGTTATTTCTTAATTACAGTAAAATAATATTATAATCAATATTTAAGATATAATAAATATTATTAAAATAGTAATTATTATTTATAAGAAAATAATTATATAAATTATAATTTTCAATCAAATATGAAGTAAATAAAAATAATTTTAATAATGATTATAAACATTATTAATAACTTTTCATTCCTTCTATATGTCATATTTCCTATAACAGTGCTTCAACTTATTGTGAATAAGGTTGTTTTACCATAAACAAAATAAATTGTAAAATTACGAATACAACAAACAACTCATACATGGAAACATCATGAAAATTGACAAATTTAATGTTACATTTAACATGTTTTGGTGGAATGTTACATTTAACATGTTTTAGCGGGGGTTTTCACCATGTAGATTTATTATGCTCACTTTAAAGTTTAAACTGTGGTGTTGACCTAGAAAATGTGAATGATTTTTTATTTATGAATTTGTTGAAATGCAATATCCAACATCTATTTTATTGTTTTTTTAATATTTTTTCATAATTTTTCATTCCTTCTGCATAAGAATGGGATATTCTTATGAAAATTGATTTTTGAATATTTTATATGAAAATTGATTGCATATATAATTCATTCAGACGTCATATGATTCTTGTTCCGGGTGAAGAACACTTGTCTCCTTACTCCTTTCTCATAGGTCACATTGTTGCTTCTTGGAGTTTCTCTTCTTGCCACTCTTCCAAGGAACCGAGAAGCATTGAAGGTATTCTTGAGGATTCACAAGTGGAACCTCATCATTTCAACTTTACAACAATAGGCATCTGGTCACTTGTAATCGGTATAGCTCGGCCTGACCCCTATACCGTGGTCACTTTATACACGTGTGCCTCGACCTTGCCCACACGGGATCAACTAAGTCCTAGAGGAGAACAACACAACGTCCACTCCAAAGGATAACTTTCCAAGGAGGGTTTTCAATAAATTGGGCTCTTAGAGCACCACAACTATCTCAATCCGCACAGTGGGATGAGCAACTTAAAAAACATCTCCTCTAGTCCTAGTGATCAATAACTTATCATCACAACTTAATCAACTTACAACTCGACATCACAACTCAACTCAACAACTTAAACAACGTATAACTTTTCAACTCATCATCTTAATCAACTTTTAACTCAAACAACATGGTATATCATCACAACAACTCATCAACGTTATTTAACAACACATTTTAACAACACAACATTTCATTTCAACTTTAAGTAGCACAATCGACTCAATCATCATAAAATAATATCTTTTCAACACATGGCACAACATACAACTTTAACAACATACCACTCTTCTCTAACAACTTAACAATATTATCATCATGCACTTCGCAACATATCCATGTCCACACATAACATATAGCAACTTTATCAACTTAATTTCAACTAGCTTCAACGATATCATAGATCAACACACAACTTGTAAACAATTTCACAACTTAACTACAACATGCATCTCCAACAACATCATTAATAAATATTTAATCATATATTAGCAACACACAATATTTTTATCACATAACACAACTCATACTAATCAACCTAAGTACCCAAATGAGTTCCCAACTCACATACAACCAACAACTTTACAATCTAGCTTCCCTTACCTGAAGATTGGCTCAGAATAGCCAAGAAGCGGAATTCCCTTTCCGAAGGGTTTCTTCGCGACTGGTTTCACAAAGAATAAGCCAGGTTGGATGTTGTTCCTTGATTTTTTACAATTTAGGTAGTTTTCCTGTGTTTGAAGAGCCAAATGGACAAATGTGTTTTCCTCCTCTGATTAATATCTAGTTTTTTCTTTGATTATAAAAATCAATTTTGCCAATGATTTCAGGTCTTTGAGAAGTCCCTGCAATGTACCTTTTCAACTCTGGATGAGGTATATCTAATATTCAATTTAGTTTGTTGCATCATTCTCTGCAGTGCTTGTAACATTATTATTATTTTTTTCTAATTCCATTTCCTCACTTCCCGTAAGTTACAATAAGTTGCATTAATAAACTTTTCAATTTATATTTTTGTTTCAGTATCTTGATTTGTTTCTTACTCGGGTAGATGGCTTAAGGCGAAGAATGACATCTACTGGTGAACAGGATTTGGAATATAAAATAATAAGGGAGACCTTTCAGGTTGGTTATATTTATTTCCAGTAATGTTATGTTGGAGTTGAAAGTAAAAATGGTTTAATGGTACTTTCGCTTCATTAATGGTTATATTTATTTTCAGTAAAGCTATGTTGGAGTTGAAAGTAAAAATGGTTTAATGGTACTTTTGCTCCATTAATTTTGATTGTCTTTGTTAGATTTTTTTCCTGGTCTCCACCTTGTTGCTGATTACGAATTTTGGATTTTGTTATTTGATGATACTCTACTTTAGTCATTGTCTGCCATAGTGGTCCGTTCCTTTAACCTAATTATTCCCTATAAATTCAAAGTGGCCGAGACTTGTACTCACTTTTGGAATATACATATGAGATTTCTCTCTTTCATTTCTCTCCTCTCCGAGGGCCTTAAGCATTCTTAAGGGATTGCCGAGGTGCATCCCGTCTCGGTTTCTGGTGCTGCTTCCCAAATCGCCTCGGCCTCGTTTTGAGCTAGAGGGGATGTGTTGTTTTATTTCCCTTTGCTCGTGCTTGTTAGGTTGATTTGTGACTTGGTGTGTTTTTGCAGGTTGGATGGCGCAGCAAGGTTTGGGCTTGTCATATCGGCAGTTAATGAGGAACAAGGCTCCGGCTGGGTCCTCTGCAGAAGATCATCGCAGTGTCGCGATTGATCCCCAGCCTCAAGTGATGGAAGCTCCCCGACTGGCGCCCCCTGTTATTGCTCTTCCCGACCCAAAGAGCCGGAAGAGGAAAGACAAAGGGAAGAGAAGAACTGACGCAG